TGGTCGATATATATTGACCTATTACTAGACTACTAGACTAGATTTTAGAATCTGAAATTCTGTGATTTTTGTTACTGCTAAAGTTTTTGATACTTTCAGTTATGTTATTTGTCATATTTGGAAATTGACATTGTCCATTTAAATTTACCTTCAATGTATAAAAAGGCGCTGTGAAGCTGTTGCAAAGAATAAAGACAGTCATATTGGTTTGACATGAGATAAGAGTGAATGAATGAATGGAAAAAGCACAAAAATGGAAATGTCTGTAAGTTTCATTATATCTCAGCATGTGCTTTAGAACGAGATGCTGGAACATTGTATCAGACGTGCTGTTTTTACCAGCGTTCTTACACCTCCATCTCTCACCTCCATTCACTGCTCCTCTCTGTGACTGTGATCAGGAGGTGTTCATGTTCCTGCTCCTAAAGAAAAGCTTCTGTTCTCTATTCAAGGGACAGTAATGGAGACTTCAGCCCTCCATCCTCATCCATCATATATAGAGTGCAAATGTGCCAGAGTAAACAATATGTGCATCTTAAAAGTAGACTGCTTTGTGTTTTTTTTAACCTGAACTTTTAATTGAAGTCTCATTTTAATGTTTTAAATGAACATTTATTTATAAAACAAAATAACTTCTTTGGCCATATTAGCCACTTTATCTGGTTCGAGTCTCATACCGGCAGGGATTGTAGGTGGGGGAGGTGAATGTACAGCGCTCTCTTCCTTCAATACCACGACTGAGGTACCCTTGAGCAAGACACCGAACCCCCAACTGCTCCCCGGGCGCCGCAGCATAAATGGCTGCCCACTGCTCCGGGTGTGTGTTCACGGTGTGTGTGTGTTCACTGCTGTGTGTGTGCACTTTGGATGGGTTAAATACAGAGCACTAATTCCGAGTACGGGTCACCATACTTGGCCACATGTCACGTCACTTATTTAAGGTAAAAAAGGGCACGTTAGCTTCCCATTATTTATATATATATATACAGTATATATATATTAGGGATGCTCCGATCGATTGGCCGATAATCACTCGATTATTAATTTTATGACTCGATCGGTACTCACTACTATTTTCATTTTTAACAGCAGATTCAATGA